AAGGTAACAAAAAGTGTTATTGTGATCTTTTAACATACAGACTAAATAAAAGGTTTACACTGTAATGAAATGGAAATTTGATTATCTAATTATTTCTCAATTTAGTTTGTTTGTGGGTAAAAACCTTTCATTAAGCTAAATGTAGGTTTATCACTGATGTATCAAAAATTTTGCTGTAATAACTTGCATAGTTGTGATTTTAAATTATTTGTGTTCATACTGTTAATCCACCTTTAGAGTTTGTAGTTATAACATGTGATTTTTTTTTTTTGTCTCCTGTAAAAGCTACGATAACATTGTTTTGAATATTTTCTGTAGTTTTCATTACATCCCTGTATAATGTTTCAGCTCAAATTTGTTTTGGATAGTTAATGTCATCAAACATCATAATATAACACATGATAATTTGCACACAATAATTTGCCCCACTTGTTTTGTTAGTGTTTATACAAATGAAACTCAAATCATACATTGCACAGTTTAATACTTGTTTATATCCAACTATATCAGTATAATAAGTATAAAGATATGCACAGTTTGTGAAGCATCAAAAGCATAATTTCTGTGGTGGGTCAGTGGTAAGTTTCTGGACTTAAAATGCTAAAAATCAGGAATTTCCATGCAGTGGACAGAGTGCATGGAGCCCATTGTGTAGCTTTGCACTAAAAAGATAACCAAAACACTGTTTACTTAATTTGTTTTTTGAATTATAGCATTGGTTAAATTCATTAAGAAAACATTTAAAAAACAGAAATCTTTCTCAGTATCAACTCATTTACTACATATAATTGTAGTTTAAAAAATGTAAAACATATCTTTTCTTTCAACTAATTTTCCTTGAGTCGTTATAGTAATGTCTGAAAAGTCTTTTGACTATAAAGATACCTTAATGTTATGTTCCTTATTTGTTTACTTAGGATAACTCGTCGCTTCCTACCAGAGGGTGCTAGTTTTATTGCAGCCATCCTTTTTGCCATCCATCCTATCCACACTGAAGCAGTAAGTTAATATGTTGCATGGAATAATTAATACTCACAAAATCTTCAGTAAATTGTACACCTTATTCATTGTAACCAAAACAAATGTTCTAAAAATATGCCTACTGAATGACCCAACTATGTTTTATCTTTAAGCATTCTTGAAATTTGTCAGTTTGAGATAGTGACATTAAAACTAAACAAGCAGTAGAAACCAAAAAAATATGTTTAATAAAATTATTTTGTAATAGATCTAAAATTACCTTAATGAGAACTTAAATAGAAATTTTTTACTGAAACTAATCCTGTTATTTCCTAATGCAATTTTCATTTTACTTTGAATAGTATAAGCTTGGTGTATTGTTCATTTTTATCCAGACTACAAGCAAAATTAAATGTTTCTATAGGTGACAGGAGTAGTTGGGAGGGCAGAGATCTTGTCTTCAGTGTTTTTCCTTCTTGCCTTTTCATCCTACACTAAGGCAGCAGTGAGAGCTCATCAAACAGGTATGTGCTGTAATTAGAAATTGTGACATTGCATTATCAATGTGAATTAGTTTCCATTAAAATAAGGGTGGTGTTTCAAGTGAAAGACTTCTAAGCAATGTGTTGAAACAGCATTCAAGTTTCTGATTACAGCAATGTGAATAAGGTTTCACTTAAATAAAGATGGTATTTCAAGTAAAGAAATTTTGATCAAAGTTATCTCAGAAGTCTGAGAAAGGCTGCATCTTTTACCTTAACTTTAAAAAAAATTTCAAATGCCACAGTTGCAGTGATTTGTAAGCTGAAGTAAAAATCTGATAATGGAACAAAATGAAATCTTTTTTTTTTATACTCCTCCCACAATTGAAGTTTAGAATCTATTTACAGTGATATATATTCAGGTAGTTTTTCAAATATTTCCATGTATGTGTTCTGCATTAATTAATGACATGAAGCTTTAAGGTTAGAACCACATAGACACTTGGCTGCTTGTACACATTATTTAAAGGGAAGGCATCCCTGAGCATACTTCCCACAGGTAGTGATGAGATACTCATCAAGAACGTGATAAAGATCTGTTGAGTGAACCCATGCATCACCACATGAGTCTGAGGGACATTTCATCTTACATAGAGGGAGTTTTATTGGCAGTGCAGTTTGAAATGACCACATCAAACTGTGTGCTGGAGTAGAGGAAGAAATTGGCAACAAATCTGTAGACTAAGCTGGATGATGACGAGAAGCAACATCTACAGCCAACTCTAATGCAGCAAGTTCTGCAAAGCATCTTGGTGCAATATTCATGGTTTCCTGTGAGATACTGGGCTGTTTAGGCCTAGTTATAATTGCATGCCACATTTCCAGCCAGAGTTGGACTTCTGAAAGCACTAAAAGTTTGGGAGAAAGAGTTCCTGCTTCAACTGGAGATTACCTTGGTCACAAGTTACAGGACCATCCATATCTTGTTGTCAGGAGGGACTACTGTATGTGATTACCATTCAGACTGATGCTGCAACAGGTACATGAAGGTCAACAGTGAGTTATGGTTGCAGATTCTCTAGCTAGTTTAAAATAGTATACCCTGGGTTGAATCTGGCTGTTAGCTTGGGCAAATGCAACAGTCTTTGTTTAAGAGAAGGTTTAGATAGAAAAACTATACTTGAAAGAAGACTTCTGTGTTCTGCATCTACCTATAATTTTTAGCATTGCAGATGCATTCTGTCTGATATTTAATCTATTTAAAAAGCAACAACTTATCAGTATAGAGATATCAATCTGCAGAAAAATAAAATTTTTCTGATTGAAAGTTAAATTACTTTCTTTTCTGCTTTGGAAAATAAACTATTTAAGTATGCTTACTTTGAGATGTTAACACCATTTCACCATGAAAAAAGCAACAAGTCAAATGTGTGAATATAACAAAAAGTCAAAAATAAAACAAAGACTCAATATTAAGCTACTAATCCCATCAGCAACTAGTCCAATTGTATTTCTTACATGCACCAGAGTAATGAGTTAGCATTAATGTCAAGTGCTGGACCCCGACCCTAATCTTACTTGAGAGTGCAGTATTACATTAAGCTATCTCAAAATAGGAATAGTTGTTCACATGCTAACACAATGTGTAGAATCCCAGAGCCACTGACTTAGAATCACATTTTCTTATATTATGTATAATACTTTTAACTAATCAAATTCCAATTTGTTTTACCTGAAATGATAGAAATAAAAAGATTTTGGTAGTTCCAAAATGAAATACAGAAGATGGAATAACTTTTGGCTTACAAATGACTCCCAAAGTTTTTTTGTTGGCATAACATGTGTGAAATTAAGGATGAAAAAGCATTCAAATGCCATAGTTATGATGGATGTCCTAAGGTGAGGTATTTGAACTAAAGAAACACATTCTTACCATTTTCAAACCATAAAACAATCTATTTTAATGTTCTAATAAGTTTGTTTTGCAACTATGAAAAACATATTAGATGTTTCATATATAGTAAAGAATTGCCATTCTAATCATAAATATTTGTGGTATAGCAAAAACATTTTCCTGTGCTTTTCTTCCTTATGTCCTTGCCTGTTTACATGTGTTTAGGAGACCTTCTTTCTATGCCAACAGTAAGTATATGTCTAAACAAACATAGAAGCTAATCAGTTGGTGAAAAGCACTTACTATTGTGAATAAAGATTTTAAGAATTTTTTCACTTGCATTTGCTTATCTTCATTTACTGTCCATATTCATTAGAAATCTCTGCATAACATTTATGGACCTGCATTTTGTTGATACGTAATTTCTGATTAGATAGACAACAATATTATTAGTACTACACCTCACATGGTCTATTTTCAAGATACCTTAAGGGCAAACCAAATATTTTCTGTTGTTTCTAACCTTTGTCTCTGTTCCCGTGTTAATTTAGGCAATGAACAAATAGATGGATTTCGACATTGCTTTTACTGCAAAAACCAATCAAGATAAAAAAATCTGATAAACTTGTCACGTAACTTTATGTTGCTTTTCATGATACTAATTTAGATTTTAGTCTTAAGAATAAATAGAAATTCAGTGATTTTGTGAAGTTAGTTTTTACTTATTTACAGTTCGTCAAGGTCTCCAATGAACATAAATGTATTAACCTTATTTCTACTCGGTCAATTTCCAGTTACTACCTTTAGAAACTAGTGCTGTGTTGTAACAAGTTTGCCTTCTTCAGTTCTTTACAAAGAGGAATAATTCATGTTAAAAATACAAATGGCAACTATTAGAAAATTATTGGTTATATAGCACGTAAAATTGTGTTTATAGGAAAAATTTCATTCAAAATAATTTTGTGTATTTAAATGTTTATCACATGGATGGATGGATAGATAGATAAATATAATTATGGAAAGTTTGAAGGAGGGAGTTATCAATAAAAACTTTGCAACTATGTACTTAATATTTTTATGTTTATTACTGTTCATGTGTGTGTTTTATGGTTATTATTGAAACTTGCAGAGTGGTCTCCATTCCTTCACTGTATACTTTTTGTGACAGCAGCAACACTGTGTAAGGAACAAGGAATCACAGTTGTGGGAGTTTGTGGTATATATGAAATGTTTGTTGTTCAGAAGGTAAGATTAATTGTAGTTAAGTGGATATGAATGTACAGCTCAGTTGCCTTAACTTATAGCATTAGAAGCATCTGTGTTTTTATAGATACCGTACCAATATGTTTCAATGTACTATTTTATTTTGCTTTTCTTAGTGAGTAGAGAATGGAGACCCATTAAAAAAAACTATTTTTTCATGAGAACAATGATTTCAAGTGGAAAGTACAGTAGTTGAAAGACCAATGGCAAAGTTTTATTTTTCTACATATGAAATTAGAAATTATTGAATAACCAAGCAACATCACATCCCACAATATTCATTACCATTTTCATAACCTAAAATAGCCATTTTTGCCCTCACGATATAAAATAGTCACTTCCAACCTCAGCCTATGGCACTTACTTCCACCCTCACAATGTTATCCCATGGTGGCCAGAGCTCAGTTAGTCCATTGTGTGGTTTTGAGCTTAAACAATCCTCACAATCTACAGCAGTCACTTCCATCCTCAAAATTTACAATATTCATTACCATTCTAACAACCTACAGTAATCACATCCATTCCCATTGCCTACAGTGGTCACTTCTGTTCTCAAATCTAGAGCAGTTACTTCCACCCTCAAAATCTACAATATTAATTACCATCCTCACTGTCTACAGTGGTCACTTCCATCCTCAAATCTACAGCTCTACAATATTCATTACCATTCTCACTGTCTACAGTGGTCACTTCTGTTCTTAAATCTACAGCAGTTACTTCCACCCTCAAAATCTACAATATTAATTACCATCCTCACTGTCTACAGTGGTCACTTCCATCCTCAAATCTACAGCTCTACAATATTCATTACCAATCTCACAACCTAGAATAATATCATCCATTCACATTGTCTACAGTGATTACTTTTATCCTAATTGTCTACAGTGGTCACTTCCATCCTCAAATCTACAGCTCTACAATATTCATTACCATTCTCACTGTCTACAGTGGTCACTTCCATCCTCAAATCTACAGCTCTACAATATTCATTACCATTCTCACTGTCTACAGTGGTCACTTCCATCCTCACAATCTACAATATTCATTACCAATCTCACAACCTACAATAATCTCATCCATTTACGTTGTCTACAGTGATCACTTTTATCCTAATTGTCTACAGTAGTGACTTCCATCTTCATTGTCTACAATAATCACTACCACTACACAGTCTACAATAATTGTTTCCATCCTCACTATATTCAATAGCCACTTCTAGTGAAAGAGCTGCCCTATCCAGGAGAATAGCTGTGTCACCAAAAATCTATAACCCAAATGCTGAGCAATCGAATCAAGGGGCCAGCTTGTATGAAAGGATAACTTGATGAGTTAATCAAAGGAAGACTATTAGTACAAAAAGTTCAATTTAATTTACATAAATCAAAACATAGTAATTTCATACTAGTTATATAATATCTGTATTTTTGAACTGATAAACTGCAAATGATGCATTTCATGTTCCATTGAGGATCTAAAAAAAAACAAGCTCATGAATGTTATTTATTTGCTTCTTCTATTTTCAACACAGAACAAAATGTTGATGTATCTATATTTATAATGGATCAAATCTAAGGTCAAAGCCCCCTATAGATGTATTGTGTTGATGCCAAAAAAGTCACATGGTCTATAGTTTGCCCCATTGGGCATTAAGTGCTTACATTCATCTCTGATGAAAAATGGCAGATTTATCTTGTAATATAATGTTATATGATGCTATAATTCATCTTGATGATGTACATAAATACATATACATATATATATATATATATATTAAGAAACTGAATAGCACTGTTTTATTTATTTATTTATTTTTTTACAACTGGTTACAAAATTAAACGCATGCATATATTCTGTTGATATAGATTTATGTCTAATATGGTTTCAATGAATATAACAGAAAGTTTTGTGATGTCACATGCAAGACCTCTGTAGGCTTCTCCATCCTCTGATATCTCGGATAAATCCCCATAGTTTGTGACACTTCAATATACTGACAATTGACTGTACTTGTAAATTTTCAGAAAGTTCTTTGATGCTAATATTTTGTAAAATATTCCAGTGAAAGCTGCTAAAAATCACTAACAGACAATCACATATATCTCATAATAAACAACTAGATATTAAATATCAATTCAAATATGATTAATTCAAGGTGATGTTTGTGTATTTTTTTTTTTTTTACCACTAAAGCTGTGATCTACAAACACCATCACACTCAGCTAGTACAATGTGTGTTAAATAAAAAGTAAATTATTGGTGATGATAATTTCACAACTTAATGAATTTATTTAAATTGAGAAACAGCTGATGAATGATGTTGAAATGCATTTGTTGCTTTGGTGCCATGTTCTGCAGGATATGAATACAAAAAGGTTCTGTCTTATATTCTCAGAATTATGTTTTAAGTATTTATTACCTATGGACATCTGCAAACCTGTCTTCTATAGATGTGTGTATGGCTTGAAAAATAGTTTAATGATAAAATATTTTCCAGTGAAATTTTTGAGTAACATTGTAAAGGGAAATAAATACTAAAAGACAACAAATATAGTTGCAGTAAAGAAATTAAAGCATGGAATTCTGTTACATTATAGAAAAGATGTTATAAATTTATATCCTGTATATTAAATATTTGAATATACAGTAATAAGATATTAAAATTTGGTATATAATTAAAATCAACATTTTATATTTATACAATTGTAGAAAATTTATTGAAACTGTCAATGGCTTCCAACTTATAAGCACGCTATACATGTACATGATATTGTCTGTGCTGATTATCTTACATCTATTTATCATTAAACTGTGAAGTGATTTTTTATTGCATTTGTACATAAGTTGATTATCAAGTGGAAACTTTTCTTAATTTTATTTAATAGATAAATATATGAACAATAACTTTATATTAATCTATTTCATGAAAGATGAATATTGCATTTGATAGTTCCTCTAAATTTTTCTAAATGCTAAGAATAGATGACATACTAATTGTTTCTGTCCATGTTGTTATAATACTTGTTTACTGTATGTTGCTAGTAAGATTATATAACAAACATAAGGAAATACTGCTTGTTGTTTTTGTATATTTTGATAAAAAATAATGGATAATTTCTCTGGCAGTTGTGGTATTAGCTGTTTCAACTTTTGTTTCTAGTGGATTGTTTTTACAGGATTTATATAAATTTATATTTATTAAGTGTATAAGACTGTTACTACAAAAAAAAACGAAATTAATGGTTGTATCACTTGGTACCCTGGGGAACTAGGTATCTTTGGACCAGACATGAGCTGATGTTCATTATGCAATTTATCACTTTGTTGGTATAAGAACAAGTGTTTAATGCTGATGGTGTGTTGCTGAATCTGTCAGTACAACATTAAATGATGTGATGGAATATTTTTTATGCTTGTGAATGAGCTAAAAGGGGGGAAAAGTGTTGATAATGATTAGTAGTTGAAGTTTTATGTGATGCATTATTCATTTAAGTTTTGTCATATGTAATTTTTCATTATATTTTAGGTTAAAATTTGATAGCTTTTGTGAGAAAAAAAAGCCTCTTCCTTTGCTAGTTTATTATTGAATAATTTATATAAATGAAGAACATCTTTATCTGACAACCATATTTATGTATAGTAAAGTCATTTAACTTACAGTAACTGACATATTTTTGGATTCTTTATGCCTTTAATTTCTTATACTTAATTATTTTCAGCTTAGAACTTGTTAAACACATGCTTATCACCAGTTGTGTCAGGTGCACTCTCCATCCCAAGTTTTCTCTTTCAATCAATCTAAAGAAATGAACCATTTTCACTTGGTGACCAGTACACACTCATTATGCCTTTTGCATAGTACTTTATGTCCAGATTTAATTTTCATACCAATATCACATTTCTCAGATGTTGGATTAACAGAAATTTTTAAGTGCTTAATAAAGTTTAAATCGTGCACTTTCATTTCTATAGATACTAATTTTTTAATACATATAGAAACCTATGTAGGTTATATATATATAAACACACACACACACACTAACTTCCCTCATTTTTCTCGTGTTGTAACTGAAGGTATGTTCCAGTTTAACAGAGTTGATTCATTGAAAGTTTTTTTTTTAAACAATACTAGCTTAGACTTCAAGACCTTCTTTATGTTAGAAAAAATATTGTTGCCTCAAAGGCTCAACCTCCACCATGGTTTCGTGAAATGGTGCTACGACTGGCAGTTTTAGTTCTTGGTGCACTTGGTCTGTTATTTGGAAGATTTCAAGTAATGGGTGCCCAGCTACCAGTATTTACCAGGTTTGATATCTTTACCATTTATTTATAAAAGTATGTTTTCGTATGTATGTCATTCTTTTTGATTACTTAGTGTGTTTATCTGTTAGTGACTAGTACTGAATTTATGTAGTTTCATGTTTAGAACATTATGATAATTTACTAAATTCATACTTCATTGTTAAAATTTCTACTGACATGTTTTTGTTACGTCTGACTAGTCTTTAGTTAATCAAATTAAAATCTTGTGTAATTAGTGGATTTTATGAATTCTGTTATTTATATGCCAACTTATTGTTTGGTGGACTTTATTGTTAGTTGTATGATAAGTGTTACTATGCATGTTATTCTGTAACATTTTATTGTTTTTTTTTGTTGGTTACATGATTTTTATTTTGCTTTCTGCTCTTGAAATATTTTATTGTATTTTGCCCTTAACCCTATTGTGACGGTTCATGTGTCAAAGGCCATGTCATTTTGTTTGTTGACTCACATTCAAAATGTCATTGAACTATTATTTTATGAATCTATGTCAATAATTTTGGTATCAAATTGTAGATTATGATTGAAATGTTAGTATTATATATTAGTTAAGTTCTTAATTTAAAAGCAAATATTAAGACAAACACAGCTACACATCAATTTTTGTGTGTCACTTGGTATGTTGAATGCAGCATTGGTTCAAATTAGGTGTTTGAGATGTCAAAGTACATAATCTACAGTTTTGTATGAATTACTAACTCAAACTACCAATGTTGACTAGCTAGAATATAAAATACAAACCTTTTCTCTTTGTTACGATATCACTCCTGTAGTGAATCAAACACAGTGGCCTCCCACCCACCTCTTTACATTTTTGGAAATGCTCCCTTATATACACTTACTTCTATATTTGACATGAATAACCAATCAAAAGCTCAGAATGTCCCCCTAGTGGTTTTCTCAGTCATTTTGACATGTTATTCTGTAATTTCTTTCTTTTCACACAAGATTTCAAGTGATGAGGTGAGTCTTTAGTGAGCTCGAAATTTCATATTTTTTTAGACCCAAATGCAGCTTAGTTACTATGCTTGATACATTATAGTGGAATTCTATGGTATTGAAATAGTAATTTATGATTTGTTGGTTATTTAAAATGTATATATATATATATATATATATATATATATATAATAAACTTAAATT